ACAATATGTATCGTAACTAAATTACACATGCTTATAACATATTTTAATTTTATCCATATTAATCTTCTTTTCTAATCTTTATAATGGTAACTGTGAAACGTTTTAAAACTGATTGCATGCATACAAAGTGAAATAAACAAGAAATGGGAATTGGCAAAAGATGCGAGAGCACAAAGAAAAGATATATGCTACCGAAGAAGACATAATCACGGTTATTTTAAGCTTGGCAATTTATATCTATTAATATTTAAAATGTGTATATCAATTTAAAGTTACAAAGAAAATATTTCATTGAGAATTGTTTGTTTATGTAAACAATATTTACAGATAGTGAAGGATCATCATCGTGCGTAACAATTTCACCATCTAGATCAAGAAAAAAAATAAATCCAATACTAGATACGACAAACGGTATCTAAACGAATTAATTGGTTTATGACATCTGTATTGTCTATTAATTAAACTTATTTTTACATATTTTAAATATTTTTAAAATTATACAACGTAGTGTTAACATCACGCCAAATACGATCATTGCTTCAAAATAGTTCAACGACACTTGAGTACAATTCTGCAACAACTTCAAAAAACCTTGAGTCGCGTGTTAGACAAAGAAACAGTGATCTGCATAATATTACACGTTGCAGAAATCTCAGTAAAGGTAATACCTGAACATGTGTCCATATATTTGCATTTTTAAGTAGCAATATTTATTCATATATATGATTTTTCTTCGAATATGATATATATGTTATATATTCCAATGGCCTATTTCTTTATAAAATTAGTGGCAGAGTCTTCATGCGAGCAGACAAATTTGGAAGAGTTGAATATTGATAATCCTCTATTTGTAATAGCAGAAGTGAAAGGTACTTATAGATTAAATTTAAATTACTTGCTTTAGGTGAGTTTACATATACAAAAATACTTTGTTGTATCCTCTAATCTTATCTAATTGTATAGAAACAATTGATTTTGGTGATCCATCGTTCAAGTGTGCGTTATCTGGAGCTTTGTTATGGTATGAGGAAAGGGCCGAAAAGTCTAGAGTCTATACACATCCAAAGTTCTCTATTTGTTGTATGAAAGGAAAAGTACAACTCCCTCTTCTACAAAGACAACCAGATTTGCTCTTTAATTTGTTTAACGGCATTGATGCAAGAAGTTCTCATTTTATGACAAATATTAGAAAATACAATTGTATGTTTTCATAATGTCATTTGATGGAAAAATACAAAAGACTCAGAAAAATGGCTGAGTAGCTCCACAATTTACCATTAAGGGGAGAAATGATCACAACATTGGATCTTTATTGCCACAGGAGGGTGTTGTTCCAAAATTCACTGAATTATACATATATGATACCCAGAATGAAGTGTCAAACAGAATGAGTCATTACAGGTACTTACTATATCCACTATACTTGGTTAATTCTTTAAACATATGATTTATTGACGAACACGGTAACATAGTCTTTACATTTTGTGATACAGTAAATCAAATAAAGGATCCACTACAGATAGAAGTTTAGTCGAGGATTTAAAAAATATGATAGATCAATATAATGTTCTAGCACAGACTTTGAGAATGGCCAGAGACTTCATCGAGCGTGAACCTATTGCTATTGTCTCCCTGAGGTTACTACGAACAAGATGTCGAGATTCGAGAAATTATAATATTCCCACGGCGGATGAAGTTTCTGCGTGGATAGTGGGTGATTTCAATTCATCAGATGCCGAACGAGACATCATTGTGAGGAAATGATGTGGATTTTTACAGAGGATTCACGAGACACACCCTGCATTCATACATTTGGAATACCCATTGTTGTTTCTCTAGGGAGAGGATGGATATGAAGAAGATATTCCCATAAGGGAATCCTTTTTTATTGAAAAATATGTAAAGCGTCTAAGGGTATCCATAAGAGAATTTATAGCATTTTGCATTCATGAAAGGGAAGATGATGGTGGTATTGTCTTACGCGCACAGAGGTTGTTCTTACAATTTTTGGTTGATGCATATACGAAGGTAGAAGCACAACGAATTCAATGGGCTCTTATAAATCAAGATAAACTAAGAGGAGATGTTGTGAGTGGCCTGGAGGAAGCTGTTACAAGAGGTGATTCAGATCCGGCAACATCTGGACAACGTATTGTTTTGCCAACTTCTTTTACAGGTGGAATGAGATATATGTTTAACAACTGTCAAGATGCAATGGCGATATGTAGACATTTTGGATATCTAGATTTGTTCATCACTATCACATGTAATCCTCAATGGCCCGAGATTGCAAGATATATGGCTAGAAGCAATTGTAAGGCCGGAGACAGACCGGACATTGAGTCTAGAGTTTTCAAAATGAAATTAGATCACTTGGAGAAGGACCTCAAAAAAGGAAAAATATTTGGTGATGTGATTGGAGGTAATTTGAATTCTTAATTCTCTTCGTTGAAGGCGTTATACAACAAATATTTCAATTTGCATTATTTTGAATATGTGAGAAGAAGTACTTTTTTAAACTAATGATTGATAATGTTCATCATGTGCAGGTCTCTACACCGCCGAGTTTCAAAAAAGAGGTTTGCCTCATGCGCATATTCTGATCTGGTTTCAGACAAAGGATAAACTTCAGACAATAGACTCCATTAATTGTGTGATATGTGCTGAATTGCCTGACAAAAACAAGTACCCTAGATTGTACGAGTCTATAACTCGACTAATGATGCATGGTCCGTGTGGTGCAGATGATCCAAAATCACCATGTATGGATGAAGAAAAATGTAAGAAATTTTTCCCAAAGAATTATATTGAGAAAAACACATTTGATAAATGTGGTTACCCAGTATACAGAAGGAGAGATACAGGGATCACCACCATAAGAAAAAACATTGAGTTGGATAATCGCTTTTTAGTGCCATATAATCCAGTTCTTTTGATGAGATACCAAGCTCACATCAACATTGAATATTGCAACAAGTCAAATTCTATCAAATATCTATTTAAATATGTCAACAAAGGACCTGATAGAGTGACTATTGCAGTAGGACAATCATATGGTGACTCTAATAAGGCAGTTGGGTTTAATGAACCAGAGAGATACTTAAATTGTTGATACCTATCTGCGTGCGAGGCTGCTTGGAGAATCTTGGCTTTTGACATACACCACAGATGGCCAGCAATTTTGAGATTAAATGTTCATCTTCCGGGGCAAAAATTTGTGACCTTCAAAGACAAAGATGAAGTAAAGAAAGTATTTAAAGAGAATGTTGAACGTCATTCAATGTTCGAGGCTTGGATGAAGGCCAATACAAAGTATAGACAAGGACGTACACTAACTTACGCTGAATTTCCAGGACACTTTGTGTATGACACGCAAGAGCAACGATGGTTACTGAGACAACAAAGACCATCCAAAGGCCGGCTGCATTATGTTCCACCAGGTACTGGTGAGTTGTACTACTTGCGATTGCTCTTGACCGTGCAACAAGGATGCACCAGTTACCAAAGTTTGAGGATAGTAAACAATATTGTACATAACTCATTTAAGTCTGCGTGTGAAGCGCTAGGATTATTAATCGATGATAAAGAATTCATCGAAGGTATAAGAGAGGCCGCAATCTTAGGTTTGAGAAATCAATTAAGAAAGTTGTTCGTCACGTTGTTAGTGACAAATGCCATGAGTCGTTCGTGTGTTGTTTGGCAAGAAACGTGGGAATTATTGGCTGATGGGATTTTATTTGATAGACGGAGATTTTTAAGCAATCCAGGTATAGGTAATGTATTTTTTTCTTATTTAATTATGTTTGTTTTTTCCATTTACGGTTGTTGTGTACACAAAATTTTTATTATATTTTTAAAAAATTTTTTACGTTTTTAATATGATTTCAAAGTAATTATGTGCGTTTGATTGAATCTTATAAAATTACTGTGTTAGTTTTTGTTGTTAATAATGGAGCATTAACATATTTTAATAAAAAAATCTATGTACATAGAACGTATTTATTTGATGAACTATATTCGTGAGTTTTTTGTTTGGTAAAAATATGGATTTTTATTTAATATATTCGTCACATAACTTAACGCGTCATCTGTTTTGCAGATTTTGACATTTTGCCAAATGATCTACAAAATTTATATTTGATTGAGATTGAAAAGTTGCTGAATTCAAATGGACGCACTTTAAAAGAGTTTGGTGGCATGCCATTTCGTTTGACGACCCGCTGAATGTGTTTCAAAATAATTTCTTGGTCGAAGAGCTGAACTATGACAAAGAAAAGTTGTCCACTGATCTCAAAAAATAATTATCCACGATGAATGACGATCAGAGAAAAATATACGATGAGATAATGGAAGTTGTGGGAGCTGCGAGAGGAGGCTTTTATTTTGTGTATGGTTATGAGGGAACTGGAAAAACATTTCTTTGGAAATCATTATCTGCTGCGCTTAGATCGAATGGAAAGATTGTTTTAAATGTTGCATCCAGTGGAATTGCAGCTTTGCTATTACCAGGTGGTAGGACATCGCATTCAAGGTTCTCGATCCCTTTAGTGCTAACTGAATGTTCAACGTGTGCGATCAAACAAGGAAGTCCAAAAGCAGAATTAATTCAACAAGCAAGTCTCATAATATGGGATGAAGCGTGTATGATGAATAAATTTTCCTTTGAGGCGTTAGATCGCACCTTGAGAGATATTATGCGGTTCTCCAATAAAAATGCTGCAAATGGACCTTTCGGTGGAAAAATGGTAGTGCTCGAAGGTGACTTCCGTCAAATACTTCCAGTTATACCAAAAGCTTCAAGAGAAGAAATTGTGGAAGCTACCGTAAATTTATCGACTTTGTGAACGTATTGTAAAGTATTTACATTGACTAAGAATATGAGATTGCATTTATCTTCATCCAGCCATGCAAACAGTGACACACAACTTTTTTTAGAGTGGATAATCAAGATCGGAGATGGACAGCTTGGTGTGGTTAATGATGGAATTGGTGAGCTAGATCGCGACCCAGGCCTTGCGAGCCGCCTCCTTGACCTACTCTTCCGCAGCTCAAGCGCGCTCCTCGGCTTGGCGAGCACACTCCTCGGCAGCAACCATCTTCTCATGGAAGGCCGCCATCTCAGCATGGGCCTTTGTCCTATCCTCCTTGGTGAGCCGTGGCCGCTGGCTCACCTCGGCAAAGCGCATCGCCGCCTGCAGACAAGTCAAAGGGATGAGAAAACCACGCACCACTAAGTGATATATTCGTGGGGTGGTGCAAGAAATGACTTACCGAGCCCAACTCCCGAAGGGAAGTCGAGGTCAGGACTTTGCTATCAGCATCACGGAGCACTTCACGGTCTGGAGGAGGAGTGAAGCTCCACAGGAAAGGTTTTGGCTCGTATTCCCCCCTCGAGAAGGAAGGCAGAAGAGGAAAGGCCACCTTGACTGGGGAAGGATGCCCGAAGTCCGTCATGTGAGGGGACTCGGATCCCCTCGGGGTGGCCGAGGCCGAAGCCGCCTCCTTCCGCTTCTTCGCCTTATGCGCCCCACCAGAGGCCAAGTTGATAGGTGGAGTAGGGGGCGAGCGCTCGAGGTAGGAGGGGCTTGAGAGCTTTTGCTCCGGGTCCTTCGGAGCATGAGCTGAAACCTGTCTACGGCCGAGAGCGTCATTTCCCCTGCATAAACAATCGACGGTGAGGCAAGCACTTAAAAAAAGAAGAAAAGAAAAAGGGACAATGAATTATATAAAAGGATCGCATTAGCCGCGGCCGCGGATGGCCGAGTGAAGGGATCGCGCTGACCTCAAGGGCCTTTCTCGATGCTCTGTTGGATCTCTTCAGGAGGCAAGAAGGTGTAACCGAGCGCGGCTAGCGCCTCGTTGGTCACCAACGAGGCGAGGTCGTAGGGACCCCCTTGGTAGATATTCTTTGCATCCTCAACCATCCTATTCGAAGTGACGGGCGCGGCACAACGACGAAATGAGTTGTGCGCTTCCTTCCGGAAGGGAGAGCCCGAAGGAGGGGAAACAAATATGAACTTCCCCTTCCAGCTCTTAGCAACATCCTTCTTAGTCTTGAAGAGCTTCTCCTGCTTTTGGAAGAGGGCAGCATAGGAGCCCGAGTCCGAGGGCGCGACCGGAAGACTTCGCTAGCCGGAATAGGAGCAAGAAGCGGCCCATATCGGGGCGAACCCCGGTTTGTTGAAAATGGATGAGAAAGCCGGCCAAGTAGTGGTGCGACTTAGGGACTACTTGGCAGAGGAAGAGGTCGAAGTGGAGGAAGAAACCACCTTTCAAGGGTATTACTTGGCTTGACAGTTAAGGTAATATAATTAACTTTCACGTCTCTCTCTCCTGTTCGTTTTCCCGTCGACTCCCCTGCTCGGTTTCCATTCTTCGTTCGTCAGCCAGCAGCCGCAGCTCCGCCAGGACGTCGCTGTCGACCACCTCCGTCTCTCTCTTTCCGCCGGTGTGCTTGGGTCAGCCGACGGGTTGCAGCGGCGAATCCCCCCTCCTCCAGCCCGAGTTTGATTCCTTTCAATTTTGAGGTGATTCCTTGCCCAAATATCTATCGTTAGCGTTAATTCGTAGAATGGAATCTTGTTTGTATGAATCTTACGTTTGATTGTGGAATTTTTGGTTGATTATGTGTTGAATTGATTGGGGATTGAATTGGGGGTTTTATTGGGGCTATTTCTGGTGTCACGCCGGCGGTTGGCCGACGGTGGCTACAGTCGACGTATGGGACACATCCGGCAATTAGTTCAATTGGGTCAATTCGGGTCCAATTGGGTTAGTTCTTGTGCAATTGGGTTCAAATGGGTTCAATTGGGTCTGTCTGGGTTCCAATTAGATTAGTTCTTGTGCAAACGGGTTGACTTGGGTTCGTTTGGGCGCGAATGGGTTCGCTCCGGCTGTTTGGGCCGGTTAGTGGGGATGCCCGGGACGGCTGTTCGAGCCGGTTTGTGAGGCTGCCCGGGCCAGCTATTCAGGCTGTTGGGCCGGCTCTATGGGTTGGCTGTACTGGGCTGCCCAAATGGGCAGCGGGTCGGGGTTGTCGGGTCAATCCGGCGGGTTGTCGGGCTGATTCGGTTGTAAATGGTACTGTTCCGGCGGGTGTAGCGGGCCTGAGGATCAAGTCCTTAGTTCCGAGTTCGCGACACATGTAAGTTAATAAATGTTGTTGGGTTAATAAATATTGTTGGGTTTAATCTTGTTGTTTGAGCATGACGATAATCAGTGATTAGTGATTCTCTCGATAAGCCGCTGAGTGTGTTGTTCTGTTTATGGAAACTGTTTAAGTGCTTATTGTCACTTGTGAACTCTCTTGGAAATTGGCCACCTAGTATTCCTAGGCGGATCTGAACTGAATTGGATAGCTTAGTCACCAATAGGACTGTTGTTAGAGCTATTTTCTGATTTTATTATGAAAATTACCCTTAATATTTAAACAGCAACAACAACAACCCAGGTAAATCCCACAATAGTATGGTCTGGGGAGGGTGTGTGTACACAGACCTTGCCCCTACTCGGAAGTAGGGAGGCTGTTTCCAAGAGACCCCCGGCTCCACCTGCACAAAAATATGGAAGGGAACACAGTATAACATAAATAAAGCACCAAGTACAAGCAACAAGTACAAACAATAGCAGCAGATTGCCCTTAATATTTAAATTTTATAAATTTCCAAACTAGCATTCAAAATCCATTCTAAATACAAATTTGTGTTACTATTCACTCTCTAACTTTTCTAGCAATGCATGTTTCACCGATGTGAAATATGTTTGTTAATATGAATACGAGTTATTTAATTATATTTAAGGGCTATTTTCAAATTAAAATTTAAAATTTAAAATTAAAATTTAAAATTTAAAATTTATAAATTTCCAAACTAGCATTCAAAATCCATTCTAAATACAAATTTGTGTTACTATTCACTCTCTAACTTTTCTAGCAACATATGTTTCGCCGATGTAAAATATGTTTCTTAATATGAATACGGATTATTTAATTACATTTAGGGGCTATTTTCAAATTAAGAGTTTTTGTAAGGATGAGTTCATGAGTTAAACCAAAAAAATAATAGGAACAAAAAAAACCTGTAAATTAGCATTAATTTTCTATTTTTCTTCTAGATTTTAATGTAACAAATAAATGAACATGAAAAAAATTTTATTCCGCTGCCGGGATTTGAACCCAGAGTCCCCAAAGGAACATGTTCATTCATACCTTGAATTTTAAGCCAGTGCTACAGCGGATCAATTTGTTATTAGTTTTGCGGTACAATTTAAATATCTTATTGATAGAGTCTCATTATTAGCACAACAAAATTAACTCTACGTAAACGGAGAAAAATATTTTCGCCGCTGCAATTCAAACTCAGATTTCTTAAGGAACAAATTAAAGCCAGAATTAATTTTTTTTAATCTTTTGTGCATTACAATGATTTTATTACATAAGGACATAAGGTAGAATATTTAATTGATACTCCGTATGATAATGACATGTTTCATGAAAGTATTGTACATTTACAAATGAGGTGGATGAATACAATTGGTTCAATTTTTTTTTTCAGGCTATTTCTTTAATATTTTATAAATCAAAATAAACTCTGTGATGATATAAATAATCATTAATCATCTTCCAGGGTTTTTTTCGTTTCCAATAATGATTGACTTGAAGGTAACAAATAGAGAAATAGAAAAAAAGGATCTGTTTTGTATAAGTAATTGACCTAATTACAACTGAACTAGAATTGGAATTCTATGAAATTGAATTCGATGGAATTGAATTCTCAAGTTCCAAATTATTTTTTGTATTACTAATTCCAAATCACATATTTTTCTATGTTACCAAACACCAAAATTAAAATTCAAGTCCCCAATTTCAATTTCATAGCTTGAATTCCGTTTACCAAACAGAGTCTGAGATTCCACCCTTGAGAATCAAACCTAGAGTCACCAAAGGGAAAAAATTAAGGCAATGCTATACCGAAAGAATAAAGCTAGGGGTACACCAAAATGGTATATCTCATTTGTACACCAATACAACACAAACAACACAGACATTAGCCGTGTTTGGAAACCTCCAGTTGGCTGTTAACTTTTGATTACTCATTATGTTTTAGTACCATATAGTAAAATTCCACTTATTAGAAAACTTATTAGAAAGGACAAAGTGAGTATACTCCGTATTTTTGTGGGGAGAACCACAGAGTCTTTGGCAACTTTTATATTACGTCTTTGGCAAAAAAAATTTCTGCTCTTATGAGGTGTTTTCCAGTTTTTCCTATAAGCCAATTGTAGGTCTGGGCCGAATCTGAAGTTGACTTAAATGTTTTTTTTGCTCAAGCCCGACTTGCCCTCATAACTGGGCTTATTGTTTATCTCTTGTCCCGTCCAAATGACTATCAGACGGAGAGCGCCGTCGCCACTCCTCCGCCAATCCGGCATCGCCGACTATTGCATTGATTATTCATTCCCTACGTTTTAGATTGGTAGATATTCGCACTTTGCAGCTAAGCCATTTGGTTTTGTATGAGTAAATGTATTTATCGGAATTTGCAGTGATCGTTTGGTGATAGAATTTAGACTGAAATCTTTCCAAAATGTACTGAAGAAAACTGTATCCCTCCAATCTTTTAAAGTTCTTGGTGTTGGCCAACACCCACATCATGTCTTCTCTGGGGATCTGTGTTAACCCTCTGGCTTTCCGATGAAGCACACAGTATTCTTGAGATTATTCCTTTTCTATCAGTTTAGATGTGCAATGAGAATTCTTGATCTTTCCAGGCATTCCTTTATTTTAAACATCACATTGGTGGTACTACTTTTCAGCAGAGTTTCATGTCTCTATAAGGTTAGTAGTCATCATACTGGTTCAAACCTGAAGTGGGTTTTTGTTATTTATGCAGTTGTTGTAATATCTGATTCATAAAGTTGCTTCGTTCCAAGATTTGGTCAATAGTTGAAGCGGGTTTTGCCATTTTTCAGTTAGTTTTGTGAAACAGAGCCTTAAAGCTTTATTTGCCATCATTCTAGGTGGTTACTCCTCATGAAAAATACATTTCACAGTCATACTTTGAGAAGCATGATACCTTGACAGATTCAGCATTTGAACATTTTGTTGCCCATGAAGTTGTGTACGGATCATGTGAATTGGCGAAAGAGGGTGAAGTTGGGTTGAAGATTATGTCTTTAGATCAGAAACTGATTGGTGAAGGTTCACATCGTCGTCTATTGTTGTCAATCAGATTGAAGATTTTGCTCGAGTGCAACTCCAAATATCAATGTGAAGCTATAATCATTGAGAGATTACCATCTGGACTCTTTGGGGATTCATTTGAACTGGAACGTTTGGCGCAACGTGGTGGTAAATAACAAGCCCATTTTTTTTATCATGTTTTATCTAAGTCGTGTATCTAATTTGTCATCTATTATGCAGCGTTTAAGGAAGCAGGTGTATTTGGAGACACGAATTTAGAGTTGCCTTCTTTTCGCTCCAATCGGTCACTAATTGAGGTTCACTTTGATATGGGCTCTAAGTTATTATCAACGCACGAGGGTGAAATAGAATTCAAAGTTGAGCTTCCACTGCATGCCCGTTATCAGGTACTTCATGAAAAGATTCATATATCACCAATGATATCTATACATATGCTTCAATAGATCTTAATTTTTATAAATGGAGTAGTGCCCCCATTAAGTAGTTAACTATTAAAAGATGGACCTATGCGAGTCCCTTCTGTTTGTTCTCGTAATTAGTCTAGTCCCAATCAAACAACTCAAAGGGTAAAATGAGTGAAATAAATGTCATGAAACAGTAACTTTTAAAAAGAAAACTTAATTTTAAAAAAGAACATGAATAGAAAGTGAAAATTATTGGTGATACAGAAGTATGTAAATGAAATCCCAATGCCTTGCTAAAAGAAACTTGATACTTAGTCATTTGTAATATTGTTATTAATCGCAGCCACTAGGGCACGGCTTTTCAAGAGTTATGTTTGGCCCTCCGGATTTATTCGTGCGGTATAGCACTGAAAGAAAAGTGGGGGAGAAATGTTTGTTTCCATTAGACTACCACACTGCTGAACCTGAAGAAGTTGATCTTGTGTGGGAAATACCTTGTGGAGACAAAGATCATACAGAAATCATATCAGCTATTACTTTCATATCTGCTATTCTATCAGCTCTTCTAATTATATATGTATCTGTGTACTATTTCTCTTAGTAATACTTGTCTTGACTCTTGATCTTAAGTGGTGCTGACAAGGGTTAGGCTACATTTGTTCTGGGTAATTTGCATCTAAATTTAATGACTTTATGTAGTAAGTTTGTTACTGATGAATGGAGAAAACTTCCTTATATTTTCAGGATAAAACAGTGGTTTTTCTTTCATTACCAGCTAGTGGATTTGTGGACTCGAGACTTCATTTGCTTTGATTTTTTAATTGTCAGGTTTAGAGATAGTTTTAGATTGTGGAGTGACTTGAGTCCAATAAGCTCATTTAACCATTCTGCCATACTATATATCAACAAATTTAGGGTCCGTTTGGTACACGGAATTGATGGAATTATAATTGAATTGAGAGTTGAAATTCAATGGAATTGATTTAGATGGAATTGATTTGGCACTACCAATTCCAGATCTACATAATTTGTGATATTAAACAGTAAAATTGGAATTGTTGTCTCCAATTCTAATTCCATGTTTGAATTCAGTATACCAAACAAAGACTTAGTGAAATTCACCCCACGAATTGAGCTATATACATGTTAGGCAATATGGTATAAATCTCACTGCCATACCGGTCTTTCGGTAGGTGGATCTGCAGTGAAATTGATCCAAAATTCGACCGGACTGGACCAAAACTTGAAAACCTGGAAACCCGGAATCGGGTAAAGGCTAGAACCTGAACCTTGATTAGACTTGAAATTTGGCTAACTGGTTTCCAGGTTTTCAAGTTTCAACTTGTTTTTTACGACCTAGCTTGATTTAACTTTTTATTTTTTCCTATTCGTTGATTGTGTTTAAAAAATAATACCCTATCAACATACAAATATTTCACCAACAAAATGATACATTTAAAATAAATTACATAGTTTTGTTTAATTTGTCAGGTTTCAAAAATATTGATAAAGTTGCACTTTTATACTCCGTACATTTCTATCTTACCAAAAATAAGTTGCATATAAAGTATCTAAATATCTTAGCTCAAACATTCTACGTGAATTTTTTTATATAAATCTAAATTTTATTTATAATCAAATATATCTAGTCTAAGGAGAAAATTCAAAGGGTAAACACATTTCAGTTTTGCAGGTATGGTCTAGAAACCTTTTAGTTTTGGATCAGAACTATACTGGTTCTCAATTCTAAGACCAGAGACCGGTCCAAATTTTTACTAGACTAGCACGGAATCGGCTAATTTGACCTGCTTCGGTTCAGTTTTCCGGTCCCACTCAAATTTTGAACTTCCTCCCCCCCCCCCCCCCCCCCGAACAGAAAGGTCGCCTGGATGGTCTTTCAAACAATGGTATGGGGATGGCTGTCATTGTTTCCACAACCTCTTTCTAGTAAGAGCATTTCAAGTTCCTTAAGCTTCCAACAGCTAGGGATCCTCATTAATATGATATAACTGGACACCATAGTGTAGTGTTTCCAATGCCATCCTCTTTGCAACACTAATGGACCATTGGACCTCTACTACGGGCAACATAGATGAGTTTTATTGGAGGTGCAAACCCTTACCTAGTCACTTGCATTAGTATGATATTATCTGTTAAGCTAAACTCTCACGAATTTGTTTTTGAGCAACTCTCATCGAACTGATCCCGAAAATAAATCACTTATTCTTCAATTCCTCCAACTCAAATATCAATCTCCTAGTTTAAGAGTTTGTTCTTTTGTGTAGGAAAAGTTAATTTTCAACTTTTTCTAACTCTTTTCAATTTTTTCCAAGTCTTTACATTTCTTTCAACATTCAAATTTAGAATTCCAACCGAAAATGGGCCCTAATTGTGAAAGACGTGATTGACATTTGAGTTGAGGAGGAATAAAAAATTTATTTATTTTTATGAAAACCAATATATGCATTTTAATGATTCAAACTGGCATAAAATATTAACTCAATAAAAAACAATTGCACTGGCATTGTGTGTGATATTGTAAAGCATCCCATTAGCATCACACTAGCATAAAATATTGGTGCATGCCTTCGGGATATAAACTAAGGTACAATTTTTGGTGTACAAATTTCATTTCCCAAAATATTTTTTCTAAAAAGTTGACCCACAACAATTGGAATTACTACATCCGTTCAAGTAGAAATTTCTTAGTTTGACTTGACATGATTTTTGATGCAAGACGAAAAAGAAATGCATTTTCCATATTTTCCCTTTACACTTACTCTTCATCTATGAGCCGTTTTATTCAAAAATCAAAATCAGACTTCTAGATTTTCCTCTTCAATCTCAAATCCATCCCTACACACCCATTCCCCTGCCATTCTAATCTTCAAATCCAAAGTTCTAGATCTTCTTCAACATCAGATCCATCGACCCACATCTCATACGTGACACGCGTGCAGCACAGAGAACTCAAAATCTTTTTACCCTCAGAAACCCAATCTCGGATTAGGCCAACAAATAGGAAAAGAAAAATGCACAGGGATGGAGAGAAAATGGCGACAAAGAAATTGAAAATCAAATCTTGGATTTGAACCTAGAAATTGAAAATCAAATCTAGGTTCTTCGTTGCCCTTTTATCACCGCCTTTTTGTTATGCCTTCTAGCTCTGCTCCTTTATCGCTACAAAGGTGGGTAAGGCGAAGAACATGAAACGAGAGGAAACATCAGTTCAATGGGTGGGTTTGACGAAGAAGAAAAAAGAAAGAAAGAGGAAGACATTGTGTGGGTTTGGAGGAAGAAGAATGAAGAGAGAAGAGAGAAGAGAAATTGTGGTTGGTTTGGAGGAGGAAGAAATTGTGGTTGGTTTGGTAGGGGTGGATATTGAAGAAGAAAAGAAGAGAGCGTAGAGGAACAAAAAGAAAAGAAGAAAAAAAGAAGTTGGGATACAAGGAGATGGGTAGAGATAAGAGAGAATAAAAAAGGATAAAAGAGTAACTTTATGTATATTTTAATTCTAATTTAGCAAATGGAAAAATCAAATTGGGCAACCCATAAAGGAAAATGAGAAAAAAGACATGAGAGTGATGGGACGGACTATTAGACTAATCATAACACTTAAAAGTTCTTTGCCTAGGCAAAAAAACTGCCCAAAAAGTTACGTTTCTCCATAAATTTAACCATGGCATTCCACTCAAACATTGAGAATGCTTACAAACAAAATCTACAACACATATACGTAACAAAAGAATAACGAATATTCGATATCTGAACATGCCCGCGAGCAACATTTAGTCTAGTCTAAGACTAAACCCAGATTACATTAAACAAATCATGTGCCATGAATAAGAGCATTTCTTCAGCATGAAGAAAACAAGCAAGAAAACATGGTTGTGTCAACAACGAATTCAATTCTTATTGACAGGGAGAGATACAACCAGACAATCAAGGAACNCCCCCCCCCCCCCCCCCCTTCATGAAAGAAGACATTTTGTAAGGCACAATTATCCTGTAAAACCAAACATTCCATGATTACGAGAACACTTTTGCCATAATGCCACGCAACCCGATTTGTGTAGCAGGATGTATTGTTGAGCAGATTTTTTAGAATTTCACTTTCTTCTCATCAAGCGGCGAGTAATATGATCACTATAAGGAGAACAATTCCAAATATCACGAGGAGTAGGCATGTCTGCAATGGCCAAGTAAAATAAAAATGTAAATTTTGTAGTAGTTGTTAAGAGATAAGATGAATCAAACAATATGGTTACCCCATAGGCATAGAGATAAACAGTCCACTAACATTCAACTCAACTCAAGAAAAGGAGAAAAGAGCTGGGTTCGGTAACTAGCTTTTAGTTGTATGTGTAAGTTGTTTGGTTGGTGTTTGTATCATCTCTATGGTAAAAAGCTTTTAGAAAAATGAGCTATTTGTGTTAGTCGTGTTCTATCAGCTATTTAGTAAAAACATGTTTCACTAAAATGAGTTGTTTGTGTCTATTGTTTGGGGTTTATGTAAGAAGTCGTGGATCAAATAAATCATGAAACAAAAAACTCTCAAAAGTTATTTAACAAACACTGCTAATAGCTTTTCGACCTATGTCAAACATATCGTTTACCTCAAAAAGCTCTTTTTTTACATATGGCACCTCAATAAGCACATTGCCAAACACTCCCAAGAAAAATGAACATAGTGCACCCTATGTCCTACTAATTTTGAGACATGGAAGGGTGGCACACAAATTATAAAAAGTGGAATTGTGCGGTGGATATTGGATTATTGATTTTTAAAAGTAAGACAAAAAGAAAGAAGGCGAGCCACACAATTGTTACTAAATATGGTATGAGACAAAAATAGTGGAATGGACAAAAAAGTTCAAAATGAACAAAAATAGTGGGCCAGAAATAATACTTACTAGAGATGAATTTGATCTTTGGGTCTTTGCTGCTTTAGCAAGTTGTGATCTTCCTTGTGCAGTTGCAGCTTGAGAGTTTTCAATGTTTGACCCAATATCATCTGAATGAAACAATAATAATAGTGTTGTATTAAAAAAATACTTAGAGATTGAACACCAAACAGGAAAGTGACTAACCAATCATTGCTCCTTGCTCATGAACTAGAACAGCAAGATCCTTGAAAATCTCACTAACTTCTCCAATTTGTTGCTGTATTTCATTTATCCCTTGCTCCCTTTCCTCTATGATAGCCTCATTGAAGGAAATCTCGTTACCCAAAAGTAAAACCTCTTGTCTGCGGAAAAGGCACATGGTAGAAAGGTTGCATTTAAAAAGTTTGATAAAACTAAAATCCTTAACGATAAATAGATAAATTCACAATATCACCAATTACTTCCCTAACTTATTACTTTGTTATTATCATAACACATACAACTTTTTTGAATTCTCAATGGTGCAAAAAGATCAAAATGTAATGAGATAAAGTTCCTATTAGCTATTAACTCCTCATGATCTATATTAGGAAACAATGGACTTAGGCAGTCAAATTGCAGCAAAGCGTCTCTGGCCATAGTACAATTAAAATGTACGGAGTAATTGTGAAATAACCTAAAAAATAGACAGTGCCACAGCCAAAAGAATGAAAAGATACCAAACAAACAAATGTTAAGAATGCAATAACCGCAGAATCCACCTATCAAGTACCGACATTTTTAATTGCATATAACCAAATATTCCCATACCAATGTACTATAGACCCAAAGGGAAAATCTCCATGAAATTGCAAGCAAATTTTGAACACCACAGTAACCATTGTTGTAGAAAAAAATTAGCAACTCTACCTTTAGTATGAAATTTGTGCTATGGTCATGTGGCATATATTCACTTAAAGCTAAGAAAATATCCTCTACAAAATGACAGAAACCATGTTGCCAGGTGATAAATTATATGCTATTTAATTGATTGTGTAATCATATTAGATTGCAAGTCCCATAGGATAAAGAGACTGAAGCTAGAGAGAGAAGAATAATAATTATATACTCCCTCCGTCCATAATTAATCGTACTGGTTTGACCGGGAATGCTAAAATTTGTATTGACTTCCCATCTTTGCCCCTAAGGTGGGTTGGCGTTGAATTGTCGATGGTATTCCCTAACACCTAATTATCAAATCCACTAACAACCTCCATCAAATGCATCTATCGGACGCTTTCCCACTTATATCTCCTGACTCTGGTCACAAGCTCACAGCAGAGGGGCGAACCAGGGATGAAATCGGGCAGCTGCAAGGAAGGCAAGATGAAGCAGCGGCAACAGAGAATGACCAGATCTGTGCAATCGACTATTGCAGAAGAGCAGATCTGCACAATCAACAAAAAATTTACCTCTGCCGCTGGTATTCTACGCCAGAGGCGAGCATTGCATGTGGCGGATTAGATAGATGAAGGCGGAGGAAGAAGAAGATGGAAGATGAAGAAGACAATGAAGAAAGAGATGGCTGAGGAGATGGAAGAAAGAGAGATAGTGGAAGAAGAAGAGGAAGATGAAGGGGAAGAAAAAAGATGGAAGGAGGCTAGAGAGCAGCACATGAACGGATCGGGGGGGAGGAGTAGAACTGAGGGCAGATGAAAACAGAGGGAGTATTATTTTGGTTTAAAGGGTAAAAGTGACATTTTAGACTATTTCTTTTGCCAAAGAAGGAAACGAGAAGATAATTTGTAGTTGTAGACGAACCAAAAAGGAAAGTGGGAAGATTATTTACGAACGGAGAGGGTATTCATTAACTTTTCTTTTTTATTTTAGATAGTATAGTACACTATAGATAAAACTCTTTATTACTAATAAAGAGAAGGGAAATTTGGGATTAAATGGGCAAGGGTTACTTTAGTTTGTGAGTTTCCTTGCTGGGTTGTGGCTCTTGGAAGCTTTCCTCTTGAGACTCTTGGTGGGTTTTATTCCTATTGGTAATTGTTTATTTCATTAATTTTCTGATATCACTACAGGCCTCTCTACTCTTCTCATGAACTGAAAAATTACAATAAAATAGTCAAACAGATGATTTTGGAGATGTATCAATTATTCAATTCTTAAGATTGTGAGCATGGATAGAAGGAAAAATTAACAAGTACAATCCGGTATGAAACAGAACCTATGTGAAAACCAGGACTGTATTGGCAGGAACAAAAGCATAGCTGATATGCTTATCATATGCAACTTATCATATTAAATTGGGAGACCAGGAAAAGGAAATGAAGACAGCTGTGTATGAATGAAAAGTTTGGCACACACTCTTAGAACAAAAGAGTAGTAATAGAAATATAGTTTGGAGAACCCACCTTCGTGATTCCATAAGCAAAGTTTGTTGCTCTGGAGCCTTGTCTGTCCTGACATCTGTCTCACTGGTAGTGTAACTGTTCATCAAAGTTCAATAAAGATGCAAAACAAAGAAAAAAAGAGTTAAATAGCGCATACTCTATGATAAAAGCATGTTGCAGTAAAATAAATAAATTATTGGCTGCAACACAAGCTCATTTTTTCATGAGAGGTGAACACATTAACAGCATTACCTAGATGGAAGGACCGCCTGGGGAACAAACGGTGTATATGCTGTTTCCCTCTCTGCAGCAAAACGCTGCGCCTTCTGAAATTCTTTCAAAACAGCTTGAAAATCTTTAGCAAGTTTAGCATCAGCAATTTTCTTGGCAGCCTATGAACAATAAACAGAGAGGTTTAGGATAAAAAATGATAGGGGAGAATTTGAAATCAGAAAAGAGGAGAGCAAAAACTAACATATCATCAATTTTAGCATAGACTGAAATGTAACTTGTCTGTTCAATCTCAAAGAAGTTCGGTCAAACTAAATATTCATACAAGCATGCATTATATACCCTACTCTCTCATTGTCCAGAAGGGTTAAACAAATTCATACAAGGAAATACTCATTATGACAAAAAAGAAAAAAAAGAGATGAATGAGTTAGCAGAGGTCATAGAGAAAAAGTTCTTACACTGACTCCATTACGATGATCAGTTTCACTTGCTTGCTTTAGCTTGGCTGATGTATCTTTCACCAATTGTGAAATATGTAGCCTTGTCTTACGCCTGCACAGAACCAAAGTTAACCGTCATTGACAGATAAAGCCGCCACCCATGAATGACTGTTTTTGGGAGCATCCCGTATTAATTCCATTTACCATGTCTAGCAAATAAATTATAGTGGATTGTCACTTCTTGTAAATTATATCATTAAAAATACTCATCAATGATGGACCAACTAGTTCAAGGATTTTTTTGTTAGTTAAGTTTTATATTAAATTTGAGATATTGTGGAAAATAGACAAATCTGGACAAATGAAGCATATAAAAGTTTGATTGATTAGAAATTCTATTCAGCTAGATTTAGTTAGAAAAACTTTAAACCAAAAAATTCAACAGTAAAGTTTCAACCTTTCATGTTATAGATGCTAAAAAAGAAACACCAGAGTTAAGGAACGAGCGAATGGCAAAGAATACCAACAACAAAAAGTCCAACACATGAAGTTGGGGGCGAATTGGGATAGAGCACTCACAATTTCTCCCGCAGCTCAGGGGTGTCTTTCGGGGTACCGAGCGTATTGACGAGCCTCTGGAAGGCGGAGACGGCGGTGTTGATCTGGAAAATCCCAGAAGCGACGGCCTGAGTGGGGTCTTGTTTCCCATTGGAAAAATCCCGGCGAGACCCGTTAGGCCGACCCGATTCAAGATCTTGAAAGCTCATCCCTTTCGATGAGCGACGTCCTCAATCCGCGCAGAGATCCCCCTGCAAAGAACGATTTTCACTGAACAAAGAATTCAGATTAAATCTTCGAAAGGTTAGAAAGGGGGAGGATTGGAAGATCGGGAAAGCCCTAGATTGAAACGGAAGTCAAAAAAAAAGGGGGTAGGTGGATTGCGGGAGGAGTAGAAAGGTGCGAAAATTGAGAGGAGTATCAATCGGAATAGGAGAAAGAAATTGAAGAAATCGACAGAATAATGAAACGAATTGTAGTTGTGGTGGTAGGCGCGTGGCACGTGGTATGTGTTTTGGCATTTCCCTTTCACCTTTTTCCTCCCGAATTTTAGCCAATCACGGCGTGCATGCCGCCAAAATGGCTTGTATAAGTGGATCTGCGATGGTTTGAAAATAAGTTAACCGAATATTTATATAAACTTATATTCCAAAATATTTTATTTTACTACTCCGCATTTTACAAATATACAAATCACTTATTATCCCATTGTTTAATTCTACTTCTTAAATTTTCAAAGTGTGTGACTTGTATAGGCACTTATAAATGTTGGGAAATATCCCTCCTACATAGATGAAGAGTCCAATTTTAATTGGACAAATACTTTGCATCTATCTTTTATATTTGGACTTATATTTGTGTGTAAAGCTTTAGCCCAAATGTTTTATGGTGGCCCATATACTAAATAAATGAAAAAAAGGAGAGAAAGAGATAAGGTAGCACAAAAGCAAAAAAAAAGAAGTGGAGAGGAATGACTGGCAGTAGCTAACGCAGGAGAAAAGAAAGAAAAAAATAGAATTCTCGCCACACTGTGCAGCAACCCCGTTTTCAGTCCGGATCGAAGGCCAAACGAAGTCCGATCGTTCTCAAATTTTAGTATGTTGTTCCTCACATACTCCTCTTCAAATCCAACGATCAGATTCTCATTTTGATGTCTGTAAGGCTGTTTTCTAGTTGCGTTTTCAGACCTGCGTTTTTGGGAGTTTTTTACTCCATTTTATGGTGAATTGATGATTGTTGTTGTTCCAAGGTTGCTCCTTGATGATTGTGTATGCCTCTAGTGTTCACTAGAGAGGAGAACTTGTTGTACCCACTTGATTCTTGGTGATTAGTGGAAGTTTGGAAGCCGTTGTTGAGCGGCCGTGGTTTTCTCCCCGATTTGGGGTTTCCACATAAATCGTGTGTCACCTACTTTATTATCGCTGCCATTTCTTTGTGTGTGTGCTGCTGATTTTTCAGATTTCATTGTGCTTGTTATTCATCTCATTAATTTGGAGAAAAGATTTTATACGCTTCTGTTGTGTTTTGTTCCGTGCTTCCCCAACAAAGTGGTATCAGAGCTTGATTATTTTTTGGTTGGCTTCTTGTGTTGTTTATGATGGATGACAAAGTAATTGTTCAAGGAATGGTTAGTTTGGACTCTACGAATTATTCAATTTGGAAAATTCGTATTGAGGATTATTTATGCTCTAAAGATTTGCTTGACCCAATTTTGTATAAAGAACGTCCAACAGGTGTTGATGAGAAAGCTTGGACTACCTTGAACCGGAAAGCTATTGCATCAATTAGACAATATGTTTCTNCCGTTGTGTTTTGTTCCGTGCTTCCCCAACAAAGTGGTATCAGAGCTTGATTATTTTTTGGTTGGCTTCTTGTGTTGTTTATGATGGATGACAAAGTAATTGTTCAAGGAATGGTTAGTTTGGACTCTACGAATTATTCAATTTGGAAAATTCGTATTGAGGATTATTTATGCTCTAAAGATTTGCTTGACCCAATTTTGTATAAAGAACGTCCAACAGGTGTTGATGAGAAAGCTTGGACTACCTTGAACCGGAAAGCTATTGCATCAATTAGACAATATGTTTCTTTAAGTGTGTTGCAACATGTTGCTAATGAAACTAATGCTTTTGAGATGTGGAAGAAACTTGAATCCATGTACGAGAGGAACAATGCTATGGGAAAAGCTTCTTTGATCAGGAAGCTTGTTAAATTGCAATACAAAGATGGTGATAGCATTGTGGTTCACATGAAAGAGTTTCAAGGTGTGGTAAACCAACTAGCCGGAATGAATATGAAATTGGAGGATGAACTTCAAGCTTTGTTGTTGCTTTCCTCATTGCCCGACAGTTGGGATACTTTGGTGGTTTCACTTAGCAACTCGGCTCCGGATGGCAAGATGACTATGGAGATGGTCAAGGCTAGTCTTTTGAACGAAGAGGCTAGGAGAAAAGAATTAGGTTACCCTAGCCAATCTGAAGCAAATGTGATTCCAGAATCCAGTAGGGGGAGAAGCAAGAGTAGAAATCCTCACCACAGAGACAAGTCCAGGGGGAGATCAAAATCCAGAAAAAGAGATTTTATTTGCCATTATTGTCAGAAGCCGGGTCACATTGAGAGATTTTGCACAAAGAAAAAGAGGGATATGTCTAGGGAGAGAAAAGACAAAAATGAGAGTTCCGAATAGAAGCCAGAAGAGAAGAACACTACAGCCTTGGCATCTAGTGATGATGATTTATTTGTTATCGTTGATCATAGACTATTAAATGTAGCCTGTGATGACTGCACCTGGGTGATTGATTCTGGTGCATCTTATCATATTACTTCACACAGGGAGTACTTCTCATCCTACACTAGTGGTGATTTTGGCCATGTGAGGATGGGAAATGATGGTTCGTCCAAGATCATCAGTATGGGTGATGTTTGTTTAGAGACTTCCACTAGTTGCAAGTTGGTGCTCAGGGATGTGAGGCACGTCCCAGATATCAGATTGAGTTTGATTTCAACTGGTCTGCTTGATGATGAAGGTTATGCCAACAAATTTTGTGATGGAAGATGGAAACTCTCCCGGGGCAGTTTGATTATGGCTCGAGGTAAGAAGCAGAATTCACTTTATGTTATGCAGGCCAGAGTATGTAGCGGAGATGCCAATGCAGCAGATGATGCCTCCGGTGATTTGTGGCATAAGAGGCTTGGCCACATGAGTCAAAAGGGCATGCAGATCCTTTCTAGGAAAGATTATCTCCCCGACATTTCAGGTATGCCTTTAAACTCTTGTGTTGATTGTTTGGCTGGAAAACAACATAGAGTTGCATTTCATACTCGTCCCCCACATAGAAGAAAGCATGCTTTAGATCTTGTTCATACTGATGTTTGCTCTATGGATGCTAGATCACACCGTGGTGCACAATATTTTGTGACTTTTATTGATGATTTTTCTAGAAAAGTGTGGGCTTTTGTNTTAAACTCTTGTGTTGATTGTTTGGCTGGAAAACAACATAGAGTTGCATTTCATACTCGTCCCCCACATAGAAGAAAGCATGCTTTAGATCTTGTTCATACTGATGTTTGCTCTATGGATGCTAGATCACACCGTGGTGCACAATATTTTGTGACTTTTATTGATGATTTTTCTAGAAAAGTGTGGGCTTTTGTTTTGAAACATAAAGATCAGGTACTTGAAGCTTTTAATGAGTTTCATGCCAGAGTTGAAAGGGAAAGTGGCAGAAAGTTCAAGTGTGTCAGATCAGATAATGGTGGTGAGTACAGGGGTCCATTTGAGTACTATTGCAAAAGTCAGGGCATCAAGCTTGAGAAGACAGTTCCGAAGACACCTCAGCTTAATGGAGTTGCAGAAAGAATGAACAGAACCATTGAGGAGAGAATCAGGTGTATGCTATCCCATGCTAAGCTGCCAAAGTCCTTTTGGGCGAAGGCAATGTTCACTGCCGTGTACCTGATTAACCTTTCCCCTTCAGTTCCTCTTGAAGGTGATGTTCCTCAGAGAGTTTGGTCAGGGAAAGATGTCTCCTATAAGCATTTGAGAGTCTTTGGTTGCAGAGCATTTGTTCATATTCCTAGAGATGAGAGATCCAAGCTTGATAAGAAGACTAAAGAGTGCATATTTTTGGGGTATTCAGAGGATGAGTTTGGGTACAGACTATGGGATCCACGTGATAGAAAAGTGATCAGAAGCAGAGATGTGGTTTTCTTTGAAGATCAGACTATTGAAGATTGTGAGAAGAAGCAGGCAAATCCTTCTCCATGCATCACAGTTGATCCAGTTCCATCTCTTCCTCCTATTGTAGTCCCTCAAGATAATGGGGGAGATATGCATGATCATACAGTTGAGTCTCCTACAGATGACCATCATGATGATGATAATGGTGGTGATGTTATTCTAGAGTCACTACCACATTCAGAGTCACCACCACCTCAGTTGAGAAGATCCACCAGAGTCAGAAAACCTTCCACGAGACTTTCGGAGGATGATTTTGTGTTAGTCACAGATGGAGGAGAGCCAGAGACATATGATGAGGCTATGTCACATGTGCACCGCAAGAAGTGGTACGATGCCATGCAAGATGAGATGACGTCCTTGCATGAGAACCTCACATATGAGCTTGTAGAGCTGCCTAAAGGCCAGAGAGCACTCAAGAACAAGTGGGTATACAGACTGAAGTATGATGAGAGTAGCTCACAACCAAGGTACAAGGCAAGATTGGTTGTGAAGGGTTTCAGTCAGAAGAAAGGCATAGATTTTGATGAGATATTTTCTACAGTTGTGAAGATCACCTCTATTCGAGTTATACTTAGCTTAGCTGCCAGCATGGATTTGGAGATTGAGCAACTTGATGTGAAAACAGCATTTCTTCATGGTGACCTTGATAAGGAAATCTACATGGAACAACCTGAGGGCTTTCAGGTTAAGGGAAAGGATAACTTAGTTTGCCGTTTGAAGAAAAGTTTGTATGGTTTGAAGCAAGCACCTCGGCAGTGGTATAAGAAGTTTGAGTCCTTTATGATTGATCATGGCTTCCACAAAACACATGCTGATCATTGTATGTTTGTGAAGAATTACCCCGAAGGTGACTTTCTTATTCTCCTTTTATATGTTGATGATATGTTGATTGTTGGCCTGGACACCAAGAAGATTTCCAGCTTGAAGAAGTCATTGAGTAAGTCCTTTGCTATGAAGGACTTGGGCCCTGCTAAAGAGATCTTAGCCATGAGAATCACGCGGGATAGAAAGAACAAGAAACTTTGGCTATCCCAAGAGAGATACATTGAGAAGGTGCTTGGTAGATTCAACATGAGCAATGCTAACCCCGTGAGCTCTCCACTTGCAGGACACATGAAGTTGAGTATGGACCATTGCCCTACAAGTGAGAAAGAAAAACAAGAGATGAACAAGGTGCCTTATGATTCAGCCGTGGGTAGTTTGATGTATGCCATGGTATGTACGAGGCCAGATATTGCACATTCAGTTGGGGTTGTTAGCCGCTACATGTCGAATCTGGGTAAAGAGCACTGGGCAGCTGTGAAATGGATTCTCAGATATCTTAGAGGTACCTCCAGAGTTTGTTTATGTTTTGGTATTGGACAACCTGTGTTAGATGGGTACACAGATGCAGATATGTCTGGAGATGTTGATACTGCAAAGTCTACCTCGGGATACTTAATGACATTTGCTGGAGCTGCAGTTTCATAGCAATCAAGATTGCAAAAGTGTGTTGCTTTGTCTACTACTGAGGCAGAGTATATAGCAGCTGTTGAGGCAGGCAAGGAGTTGTTATGGATGAGGAATTTTCTTGAGGAGCTTGGTTTGGAACAAGAAAATTATCTTCTTCATTGTGATTCTCAAAGTGCCATCCACCTTGCCAAGAATGCCGCCTTTCATTCTCGAACCAAACACATTAAGGGCCTGTTCTTTAGGACTGGAAAAAAAGAGATGGAAACTGGAAGAAACTGGAAGGAACGGGAAGAAACTAGAAAAAACTAGAAGGAACTGGAAGAAACTGGGAGAAACTAGAAGAAACTGAAAAAAAACTGGAAGGAACTGGAAGAAACTGGAAAAAATTAAAAGAAATTGAAAAAACTAGAATAAATTGTAAAATCTAAAAAAAATTTTTTAAAAAATTTTATGTGTGGTTTTAAATTATTCTTATTCTGATTCTTGTTGATATAAATTATTATTATTACTCTTATTATAATAATAATAATTATTATTATTTTTGTTGTTATTACGAATATTATTTTTCAAACATAAAAAGATAGTTTAAAGATAAAAGTGTTCGATATCACATTCCAGATTTCATAAGAGGTCGTAAAATCGGCAATTTTCCTCAAGGCATTAAAGAGTTATTTAATAAAATAATTTATAAACTATAGTAATGAACATAAAAGTTGTAATTAAAAAAATGTAATAATAATAATAATAATTATAATAATAATATACTTGGTCCGTCCCTGAGTGTTTGTCCACTTTTGACTTTTGGAACTGTTCATCTAAGCACTTTGACTCATCAAATTCTCTCAATGTGTAAGCCTAAAAATAGCCATGTGTGATCTTGTTTGATTCGTCTTAACATATAGATTATTAATATATAATTTTTATAATTTTTTAATATACAAATTACAAGATAAAATGGATTTAAAAAGTGCATTGGATGGTGTGCAAAAATGAAAGTGGACAAATACTCAGGGATGGAGGGAGTATTTTTTTTAGAGTGATTTGTCAGAAGGTAGAAAGAACTTGAAGAAAATAGATATATTTGGAAGAAATTAGAAGAAATTGGAAAAAACTGGAAAAAACTGGAAAAAACTGGAAGAAACTGGAAGGAACTGGAAAAAACTGGAAGAACTGGAAGAAACTGGAAGAAACTGGAAAAAACTAGAAAGAACTGGAAGGAACTGGAAAGAACTGGAAGTTAAGAGTTTAAGTCCTAAAGAACAGGCCCTAAGAGAAGGTATCATTGGATTCGAGAAGCCGTGGAGGACAAGTCTTTTGAACTTGTGAAGATTCACACAAGTGAGAATTGCTCGGATATGTTGACCAAGACTTTGCCAAAGGAGAAACTCGTGTTTTGTCGAGAGAAGGCCGGTTTGTTTGCTCACTCCATGTAGGAGTGAGGGGGAGATTTGTTGGGAAATATCCCTCCTACATGGAGGAAGAGTCCAATTTTAATTGGACAAATACTTTGCATCTATCTTTTATATTTGGACTTATTTTTGTGTGTAAAGCTTTAGCCCAAATGTTTTATGGTGGCCCATATACTAAATAAATGAAAAAAAGGAGAGAAAGAGATAAGGTAGCACAAAAGCAAAAAAAAAGAAGTGGAGAGGAATGACTGGCAGTAGCTAACGCAGGAGAAAAGAAAGAAAAAAATAGAATTCTCGCCACACTGTGCAGCAGCCCCGTTTTCAGTCCGGATCGAAGGCCAAACGAAGTCCGATCGTTCTCAAATTTTAGTATGTTGTTCCTCACATACTCCTCTTCAAATCCAACGATCAGATTCTCATTTTGATGTCTGTAAGGCTGTTTTCTAGTTGCGTTTTCAGACCTGCGTTTTTGGGAGTTTTTTACTCCATTTTATGGTGAATTGATGATTGTTGTTGTTCCAAGGTTGCTCCTTGATGATTGTGTATGCCTCTAGTGTTCACTAGAGAGGAGAACTTGTTGTACCCACTTGATTCTTGGTGATTAGTGGAAGTTTGGAAGCCGTTGTTGAGCGGCCGTGGTTTTCTCCCCGATTTGGGGTTTCCACATAAATCGTGTGTCACCTACTTTATTATCGCTGCCATTTCTTTGTGTGTGTGCTGCTGATTTTTCAGAGTTCATTGTGCTTGTTATTCATCTCATTAATTTGGGGAAAAGATTTTATACGCTTCCGTTGTGTTTTGTTCCGTGCTTCCCCAACAATAAAGCTGATCATTGTATTAGCTCTGCACCAATACCATAAGCAATAAACGGTATTTAGCAACACATTATTGCCATTAGGTTATAAGTTAAGATGTTTGCACCGTAAAAACCTTTCCATGACTCAAACTCTATGTAACTATATCCGTTTGTCTCAATGTCTAGACTTAATGCAAGAGATTATAAAATTCAGCTTGTAACCACCATTCACTGATTTATCAAGTCTGATTGATAGGAACAGACGTCATAAAAACATCTCAACATGGCCATGCAATTTTTCCTCGGTAATGACCTATCAGTGGGCCTTAATGTGTCAGGTTTGAAATCCTTCACATATGCCTTGAGATGAGGTTTGAGGCCTCTCACGATGCTATCCAAAAAGTGGGCAGGGGGTAGCATAGGATTCTTCATCAGCAAACAGGATCTTAATTCTTCAAATTTATCAATGTGATCCTCCAAGCTTCATGTCTGTTGTAGTTTGTTAAATTCCTCAAGCACCTAGGTCATCTTTAAAGCTAGCACTCAAATCCGCAACAAAATCTTCTCAAGTGATATTGGCGCGTCCTGATGTATAACTATTAAACCATACTTCTACCTTCCTTGTCATGTATAACAATGCGGCTAAATCCACTTTCCTCTCATCAGGAATTCGACACATCATAAAATACTTCACACATATCTTAATCCAAATTCGCCTATTTGATCCATCAAATTGAGGAAACCCTACCTTCGGATTTAAATGAAAATGTCTCGGATTGCCTACCTCCATGTTTCTGTCTCGTCTTTAATCGCGATCCCTATTTACCGATGTATCTCCATCAGCCATTCTTCTCAATTGTTCCATAATCTGTCTCAACAGATTTTGCAGATCATCTATTCGCTTCTTTTGTTCTTCCATCTGCAGTGCGAATACCTTCTGCTACTCTATGAAGAATTTCAAGGCCTCTTCAATCCCCGCCATTTGATTTGTTTGTCCCCTTGTTACCACAAGCTCTGGTACCAATGATAGACTGATGAAAACTCTTCAATGGAGAAGAGAGTTTCGAGACCTACACGGAGAGGAGGAGAGAGAAGAGAGTCAGGAAATATCATGTTCATTACGTAAAAAACAAGTCCAACCATACATATAGGGTACCTCAACAACTAAATTGACACGTAAGACAAGGTAAAAGTAAAAAGAGTAAATTATATAAAAAGTCCCCAGTTATAGGTCGTTTTACATATTTAGTCCCTACATATCAAATATTACTAATTTAGTCCCCAATTATTATATTTATTTCCACGAATGCTCCTTTGTTAACATTTCCGTTAAGAACGTGAATAAAATTGTATATTCATACTTCTCTCTCTCCTCAATTAAGCTTTCTTCATCTTCTCATACTCTTTCCCAAACTCGTCGCTGAGTTTGAAGCTCTTAAACCCAAAATTTAAATGATCGTTCCTCCTGTTAGACAAACAATTGAGAGAAGAGTGATGATTTTGGTTTAGGGTTCAAAGCTAGAAACTCAGCGACGGGTTTGAGAAAGGAGTACAAGGGAGGAGAAAGCTTAATTGAGGAGAGAAAGGAGTGTGAATTTATAATTTTATCCACGTTTTAATGAAAATGTTAACAAAGGACCATTCGTAGAAATAAATATAATAACTGAGGACCAAATTAGTAATATTTGATATGTAGGGACTAAATATGTAAAACGACCTATAACTGGGGACCTTTTATGGAATTTACTCAAGTAAAAATATAAGTAAAAATATAAATATAAGAACTACTCCCTCCGTCCCCTTGTATTTGTCCATATTTGACTTTTGAAACTGTTCATCTAAGCACTTTGACTCATCAAATTCTCTCAATGTGTAAGCCTAAATATAGTCATGTGTGATCTTGTTTGATTTGTCTTAACATATAGATTATTAATATATAATTTTTTAATATACAAATTTCAAGATAAAATGGATTAAAGAAGTGCATTGGATGGTGTGTAAAAATGAAAGTGGACAAATACACGGGGACGGAGGGAGTAGACTGCATCAGAGGGCAAAAATAAAAAATGGAGAAGATGGAGACTGCGATTGAATTACCTATTTTGTCGATTTAATTTGAAGAGGAGGGCAGAAGAGTGAGAACGGAGAACAGAGGTTAAGAACAATGGGATACACGAATTGCAAAATTAATGGGTTTTATCATTCTTTCAGTCTGGACCTAATGTTAATTGGGTATGGAATGAACCGGACCGAAACTAAAAATAATAAATAATCCAGACAAATGATCGATTTGAAATCAATTCGGTCCGGGTTCAGTCTGGAACTAATGGTCCAATTCGATCGAGTTTTTTCGGTCCAGACCTAACATGAACACCCCTAATGGAGACCTTATTTGGCATAATTTAATAATGCAAAACCATTTTGAATAATTTCATAATTGTAAAATACTCCCTTCATCTCATTGTATTCCCCAAGTTTGATTTTTTTTTTCAAATTAAACAAAATGAACCTTAATAATTAATTATTTTCAATTTATATTGTACATTACGGAGTTATAAAAATTTTGATAATTTTTAACAAAATAAAGCAAATAAAAGTCACTTTGCCTTAATATATATTAAGGCTATGATTTTTTGGGTTGGAATTTCAGAGTTGAATGCTGAAAGAAATTGGAAGACACTAGAAGAAATTGGAAAAAACTAAGAGTTAGAAAATGTTGGTAAAAAGTTATTTAGAATTCATCATTGTCTGTATTCGAGGTGATATGTTATAAATTTGGATATATAATATTATTTTATTTTAATCACATATAAATACATTTTTAAGTCATTATTAGAAAAAAGTGGAAAAAGTTGAAAAAAACTAGAAGAAATTCAAAAAAATCTGGAAGAAATAAAAAATTAATTTTTCCACCCCCAAAAATAGGGCATAAATCTAAATTTCATCGAGAAAATCAAATTGAACGTAAACATCAAGAGAGAGGTAAGAATAATTTTGAAAATATGGAAAAAGCTTAAAATAGACGGAAAATATTAAAAATATACCAAAATAGGACTTGCATGTTTTTATTCTCGAAATAAGAGTTAAAATGCATTTATATTTATATTACTAAACGTGGTTATATACATTGCTAGGAAATAGTAATATCTACGTGAAACATGGTCTGTTTTAATACTTTTTCTATATTTTAGTTTTATTTATGATAATTTGTATGGAGTATTAAAAATATCAATTAAAGCGTCACATTTACAAAAAGCCCTAAAAAGAATGTGCGGCCAAAAAAAGAGTCACAAGTGTGGTAAAGAGCGTAAAACTAAACGTTCTGTCGGTGGCAAGCGGACGCAAGCGGTTTCTCTGCCAGCCGGCCGGAGACAAATAGACACCGGAAGATTGTAAATACGGAGATGCTGATATTTATAGGCCTAGAAACTGGCGATTTTCCGGTGTACTCTATTCTTCGAACTCTTCCGGCCAATCTCCCGGAGATCCCTCAAGTTCCGAACCGCCAGGACGTTGTCGCCATTCTCCAAGTTCAAAACTCCCCGGAGATCGGCACGAATGTCTCCCGATTCTGTTATCCACAGAGCGATTATTCATTATCTTATTAAGATCAAAACGATGAAATAAGTAATTTGCGAAATTGAAGTTGCATTATACCGATAGGCTTCAGGAACGGCTTGAAGCCTTTGAACTGAGCTAAATCTGCGACAATTAAAACACCAGAAGTCATCATTGTTCATCAACAACCGTTAAGAAATTAAATAATTTCCAAAAGAGAGTAGAAATGTTATAAATTAGGGCTATCGATTTCATGTGGGGAGGCGAGAAACTACCATTCTCAGTTGGACGGTGAGACAAGATGTAAAGGATGAAGAAGCAGAGGACGGTGAGGAGGGGGATGAGGTGCACGATTCTCTCGGCCTTGCTGAGGCGGCGCTTCAGCGACTTGCGCCCTTCGTCTGCGTCGAAGGTGGAGGGAGATGACTCCGCCGCCGGAACAGCGGCTGCGGAGAGGCTTTCTCTTCGACCGGCGATGACTCCATTAGACTTGAGATGATTTGATCCTGGCGAGCCTAGTGATTGTCGATGCATAGCTCCAGAGAGCAGGCGAGAGAGAGCAGGGAGAGGCTAGAGTGACGGAATGTTATTTGAGGATATAAACAGGATTTGCTTTGTAGTTTGGATATAAGGTTGAAACCAAATTATACTCCGTAATTTTTAGCCTTTAAACTAATACTAACTTAGGAAAAAATTAAAAAAAAAATCATTTGTGGAAAAACATCCATAAGAGATGAACTACATGAGTAATATTTTAAAATAGAGGACAAAATATAAAAATCTTCATATTATAAAAGATCAATTGTAGAATTTAAACTATTTTTTTGAAGATTATTTGCTCAATTTGTTCGTAAAAAAAAATTTAATACTCACACCCCTAACCATTAAAGTTATACCGAGTATCCCAACTTGAAAGAGGACCGATTCTATTTTGTCCGGCTGATCTGATTAAATCTGATCTGATTTTTTAAGAATCTGATCTGATTCAATTAGATCTAATCTGAATCAATCTGATATGATATACTCCGTAGTTTGAAGGATTGCTAAACTCATCCCACATTTGGCTATACCTATCACATTTGGAACTTAAAAAACTATAGGTTTGTGATAGACCATCAGCTCAAAATAAACTTATTCAAAAATTTAGAATAAATCTATTCCGTGATAGTTCTAAGAGTGTGGCTAAATTCACGCCACATTTAGATCTTAAAATACTATAGGTTTGGATTATTGTTTCTTGCAAGAAAAGACACCCAAGGTATTGAGAAAAAAACTGAAATGCTTTCCAAAAAACTATTCAAAAATAAAAATATAGACTTAGCATTTGTGTTGGTTAAATTAATGATGGAGCAATGTGAACCTTTGGATTATGAATTAGATTAGATAGAGAGATAAGACTTTGAGTGGCAAAAACTTACACTGAGAAGTATCACTAGAATTATAGTCATAGTCCCTCTTATAAATTTCATTTTAATTATTAGATAGAGAGATAAGACTTTCATTTTAATTTTTTACTCTAATATTTTTCTTCTATTATAGTCATAGTCCCTCTTATATACCATCTATCTAACACTGAGAACAGTAGCAGACCCAAGATTTTAAGCGAGTGAGCATTTTTCGTAAATATTCAATAGTGGCGAACACATAATTTTTAATATGTTAGTTATTTTTAGTCTAAGAGAAACAATAAATGCCCAAAGGAAAATGAAATTTGCATAGCAATGAATCTAAAACGCTCAATGTAAAAAACATTAGTATTACGAGTTGTGTGCAGTATTTTTGAAAACCATATAAAAAATATAACTACAAAAAATATAATATGTTCATTATTGATTTAATCACAAAAGAAGAAAACTAAGGGGGGTGTATTTAATTAAGATTATGAAAGACTTAGATTGTTTAAAGTTTATGGATTATGCAAAATCTATGGATTGTTTTAAGTCTATGCAGAGTTTGATAGATTTTAATGTATTTTATCAGCAGAATTTTATAAGATTCTGGTTGATTGTTTATATATAATCCATAGATTATTTATACATAAATATGAAACTCAAACTTCCACGCTGTCCAATTCCAGACGCAAACTTCCATAACAAAATCAGCCCTAAGCACCAATGAATCTCCAAATTCCAGCAGTTTCATTTCAGCCCTTTGGGGGGCTAAAACAGCAGCCCAACACTGCCATTTCAGTTCCATTTCAACTCCATTTCAAGGTCAAATGTACAGAAAAAATGCAGGTTCACATCGGTCTGCAGTTGGTATCCACCTTCAGTCCAAAAAAAACGAGACCAACAGCTTCATTGTGCAAAAAATGCAGTTCCAAACGAGTAGGAAATGCCATGGACAGTAGCTTTCAGCGTGTTCACTCCAAAGACCAGCAACAACAGCAAGTCCAAATCAGTGGCCTTCCAAGGGTATTGTGTATGTGCAAGGAACCAAGAACATGGAGTTTCCATGGCTTCAGGCAGACCTAAAGGAAGACCACTTCAACAAATACACCCCAACATATATACCTCAAATAAACCACAAAAAGAGCAGCAATAACAGTGGTTGAAAGGCCAAAAATCAGTCACAATTCAAGCAAGACCAGCTGTTAGTTTCTCAAGCACAAGCCACAAATATAAACTCAAAAGAAGTGTTGTTACACCATAAACAAGCTCTCAAAATAGCAGCGAAGAATCCACAAGAGTTGGTCAAAAACAAAACATTCAAAATCCAGCAGCTTCACGCTGTGAATAGTAGCTTCGAATCCCAAACATCCTCAAATCGAAGGAGCAATCAATTGGTAATGAAATCCAACTTCAATTAGCCAACAAAGAAGTCTGATTCGACGGAAACAAAATTTCAAATGAACAAAACCAGATCTGCGTAAATGATGAATTGCAGTCATTCGGAGAAGAAGATCGGCCGAATTCGAGAGAGAGACTCCAGCTTCCATTCGAGAAGATGAGTTCTTGGGGAAGAAGGAGAAGACGATTGGCCGAAGTAGAAGATGATTGGCCGAGAAAATCCACTGCCAAAGCAGAAGAAGATTGGCCGAGAACGGGGGTTTGGTTGGATTTGGAAAAAAGACTTTTTTATTTATACTTCAAGCTAAAAATTCATCACAATCCATTTTTTACAACAATCCTTAAAAATCTATCAATTTTTCAATATCATTAGATTTTGAAAGACTTTTTAAAATCTCAATTGAATACCTCTAAATTTTAAATGATTTTTTAAAATCCCAATTGAATTCCACTGACTTTTAAAATTCAAAAAAATCCTGCAGAGTTTGGATTGAATACACCCCCCTAAATATGGAGTAAATAAAGCCCTAGATGTAGACATTTCTACACACTCAATGGGCAATATTGACATGAAAATGTACTGAGTATAATTTAATAATTTTTAAGAATCTAGAGATAACACCTAATGACAATTATAAATCTACTCTTCTCGGGCGCTCTGGGGAATGTGTTTGCTTAGTGTAAATATAATACTTATGTCACATATACTATACTAGTAAGTAATTCTTTTGAGTGGATGCAGGTGACCCCAATTGCACAACCCTAGCTCCGCCTCTGACTCTGAAGTATCACTAGAATCTCACCATAAAGGTTCAAAATATGAAAATTTCATTTTAGTTTTTGTTCTAATATTTTATTTCTATTATAGTCATCGTCCCTCGTACATACCATCTATCTAACATAACAGTGTCTATTATGTTAGATAGGTCTAATTCAAAGGTCTACCAAAATGTTCAATAGGGGGTGCAAAATAAAGGTCTAATTCAAATGTTCAATAGGGGGTGCAAAATGAGTAATTGTTAAGTTTGAGTCCTAGCAAAAACAAATGTGGGATGATTTATGCTCTACATGAATATCCTTTGCTGAATAAGAACAGATTTTATTTACTATTGCTCACTTGAAATTAGAATTTCATTTAAATATATATATACTATCTGGGCTTGATCCTTGGAGCCCTCATCTCGGGAAAGGGGTGTCATCTTATTATTTATTTAATTATTTTATCAAAATAGCATTATAGTGAGCCCATTTGCAAATCTTATTTTCATACCATCTATCAAAATAGCATGATCGTCAAGTCCATTTCCAAAACTGTTTTAGTTCATCCTCATTCATTAAGACCTTGTTCCTTCTAACTCAGTGTTTTTTTATCCAGTTGACTTCAAATGCAATTCAGTTCACTTAAATTAGAAGATTGCATTCAAAAATAACACTTTAGCCATGAAACATTTTAGAGAGCACAACAATCAATTAGGTCCCATGAGAGTAAGATCTGGAGAAAGTGTGCTAACGCAGACTATGCCCTTACTCGAAAGTAGGATTGATTTTTTCTAAGAAAACCCGGATCAAAAAACAATATCTATACTATACTTAAAGCGAGGGGAATTTTTTCCCGCCCATACGTGATGCTTATATATGGAAACTGTTTAGTACTTTAAATATCTTGCCTCAATACATGTGAAGCATATATGGATACTATTGAATGCTATGTTTCGTGTGACTCCTTACATGGTAAGTATTACTTGCCATTTTTGGTTTAATTTCTATTAATTACTAATTAATATGTTTCCATTTTAATTTAATCAATGGTAAGTGTTGCAGTGTCATTCTTGGTTTCTATAAAAAAAAATTAACAATAATAATTGCTAACCTAAGCAAACAATTTTATAATAATAAAAATATTATTATTATTATTATTATTATTATCTATTATTTAAAAAGCCATGGATTCTCATTTTTCTTTTCCCGCCCATTTGGTGTTCTAGAGAAAATGGTAATTGTTCACTCCATATGGTAATTACTAAATGGTAATTAAACATATCATTAATGGAGTTACCGTAATCGAGTAATTACTCAATTAATATTACCGTGAATATAATATTAGTGTAATTATGCTCAACATATAACCGTGTAATTTAATATATCCGTTTATAAAAAATGTATAAAAACCGTGTATAAAAAAGGTAACAAATGCTCAACTAAAAATGGTAATTTAATATAACTGTGTAATTAAAATGGTAACGAATGGTAATTTAATATAAACGTGTATAAAAAAGGTAACGAATGGAAATTTTATTTAGTTTAGTTACCGTAATTAAGTAATTACTCAATTAATATTACCGTGAATATAATATTAGTGTAATTA